CTCTCTCTCTCTCTCTCTCTCTCTCTCTCACACACACACACACACACACACACACACACACACACACTCACACTGGATGGGCCCTCAGCAACCTTGTTTGAGCATGTGACCTTTCCTCCATGGTGTTAATTGGACCAGGGATGTACAAACTAACAACTGGGTCAAGCCTATTTTCTCTTCTAGACTTTGGAGATATTAGTTGCAGCCCGAGCTGTTCTCTTAGATGCAGGGAATGCAAATGGGGTGGGGGTGGGGGGTTGCCATATAAATATTGAATCAGTGAAACTGGTCTGTTGAGGCTGTAGAGAGAATAATTGCCTAGGGATGTGACAGCTTTCCAGTTCCTGCTTCCTGGGCTTTGAGAGTAACTGCCTTTAGTTAGGTTCCTGGATATTATATGAATGTAGTATAAGGTCTACATGAGTTAGGATGTATTTGACTGCAAGTAAGAGATAATCTAAATGATAGGGATTTAAATCATTAGAATATGTTATTTCCTTAAGGAGTCTGGAGGCAGGCAGAAGCCAGGGTGTGTTCAGTTCAGCTGTGTCATCAAAAGACCCAGGGTCTTCCATCTTTTGGCTCTGCCTCTCAGCATGTTGACTTTTCATTCTGTGCTTGTTGGTTCATGGTCTCAATATGGCTATCATGGTTCCAGACATCATGTCCTCACATCATAGCAGCAAGTAAGAAGGAAGGGAGCAGATGGAAAAGAGGTTTAATTTCTGTTAATAAAGAAAAATCCCCCTTTCTCAGTCTGCACAGTAGACTTCCTCTTATATGTTATTGACTAGAACTGTGTCACATATGTACTCTACCTGCAAGAGAGTTTGAAAAAGTGAGTGCCTAACAAAAGGGAATTGAATGGCCACAATTACCTTACCAATTATGCCCCCACCCCTTGAATTGTCTGGGTATTCTTGTGGAAAATCAATTTATCATAAATATTAGGGTTTATTTCTGGATTCTAAATTCTATGCTATTGCTCTATATGCCTATCCTTATTCTAGCACATTGTCTTGACTACTGTAACTATGTAGTAAGTTTTAAAATCAGGACGTGTGAGTCCTCTAACTTTGTTCTTCTTTATCAACATTGTTTTAACTACTCTGGGTTCCTTGCATTTCCATATAAATGTTAGGATTAGTTTGTTAACGTCTTTTAAAAGGCAGGTGGGTATTAGACTTATAGGGGTGATCACATTACATGAGTCTGTAGATCAATTTGGGAAGTATTGCCATCTTGACAATATTAAGTCTTTCAACCCCTGAATGTGGGGTATTTTTCCATCAATTGCATCATAATACTTTTCAGCAATATGTGTAGTTTTCAGTCTACAAATCTTACACTGAGAAGGCTAACCCTATTTTGTAAAGCTACTGTTTGGAATTCTCTGCTATTCTTTAGACGGCCTCTTATTCTAAAAAAAAAAATAATAACTTTGCTTTCTAGCCTGCTTTAGCTTGCTTGAATAATGAGGAAGATAAACTTAGCTGTCTGACCTTGTAGGCCAGAGACTAGATACGCCCATACTCTCAATGCCATGCCAAGTGTATTTTTTAATTGGATAGAACTGTGTACTTTTCAAGGCCACCAGCAAGATAACCACTAAGCACACATAGGGCTGGCTCTTTCATAAAAAGGGAAGTTCTGCTTGTAGCTCTGCTTAGAATTTGAATTCATTTTCTCTAAGCCCACCGCGGTGAATAAAGTGTAACTCCAAACTCTCGGAGCATTGCTTGATTTATTCTGGTTCTCTGTAACAACACCTCTATTGTTAATTTTTTCCCAAGAATTTTAGTCTTTTTGATGCTAATGTTAATGAAATTGTTTTCATGATTTCATTTTCAGAAAGTTTATTGCTAGAATATAGAAATACAGTTGATTTTTCAATATTAATCTTGTATTCTGCAACCTGCTTGACTTGTTTACTGGTTCTAATAATTTGTTAGTGGATTCATTGGGATTCTGTATGTATAAGATCATGTCATCTTCAAACAGAGATTAATTTACTTCTTTCTTTCTAATCTGGATGCTTTTTATTTCATTTTCTTGCTTAATTGCACTCGCTAGAAGTTCCAGTACAATTTTGAATAGAACTGGTAGAAGTGGACATCCTTGTCTTGTTCTTGGTCTTAAAAAGAAAGCAGTTTTGCCATTTAGAATGATGTTAACTGTAGGGGTTTTTTGTAGTGTCCTTTATCAGGTTGAAGAAGTTCTGTTCTTTTTCTAGTTTATTATTCCTGTTCTATTCTTAGTGCTTTTATCATGAAATGTTAGATTTTGTCAAATGCTTTTCCCCCCATCTATTAAAATGACCATGTGGGTTTTGTCCTTTATTCTATTAAAATGGTGTATTAAGTCAGTTTTTTTGGATGTTAAACAACATTATAGTTCCACTTTGTCATTAGATTTTTATTATCATAATTATAAATAGATTCATTATTTTTATTTTATTTTTTAAAATATATTTTATTTATTTTTTACAGAGAGGAAGGGAGAGGGATAGAGAGTTAGAAACATCGATCAGCTGCCTCCTGCACACTCCCCACTGGGGATATGCCCGCAACCAAGGTACATGCCCTTAACCGGAATCAAACCCGGGACCCTTGAGTCCGCAGGCTGACGCTCTATCCACTGAGCCAAACCAGTCAAGGCTAGATTCATTATTTTTAAAATGGGAAAGTAGGAAGACACTGAGTTATCTAGAACTCTTGGGTCTATTCTTTGGGATACAAATACATGAACAAACAAGATGCATAAATAGTCCCAAAAACTAACCAAGCATGTTTCATTAGTTCCCATTTAGTGGATGAAAAAAGAAACACACATGGGTACACAAATACCTAGGATATAAAATGGCACATATTGAGTGCTCTATTTCATTATGGATTACTCCTCTAGGACACTGCTCCAGAGATAACAAGTAGCTGTGCTGTCTACCCACACTCTGCTTTGTATCTTGTGATTGCTCACACTGTTCATTTTGCCCCAAATTTTCTTCCCTTCTTTCACTACTTTTTTTCCCTATTTATTATTCCTGGAAGGACATATATAAAAATATATTATCCGTGGTTTTCATTTGGGACAACATGGTAGACCTAGAGGGTATTATGCTAAGTAAAATAAGTCAGACAGAGAAAGACAAATACTTTTGTCACTTATATGGTATCTAAAAACCAAAATAAATGAACAAATGAAACAGAAACAGATTCATAGATACAGAGAATAAACTGATGATTGCCTGTTGGGATGGATATTGGAGGGCTGGGTAGAAAAGGTGAAGGGATTAAGAAACTCAAAATAGTCACAGGGATATAAAGTACAGCATAGGGAATATAGCCAATAATATTGTAATAACTATGTATGGTGTCAGATGGGTATTAGACTTATTGGAGTGATCACTTTGTAAGTTATATGAATGTCTAACCACTATACTGTACACCTGAAATTAACATACTATTGAATGTCAACAGTAATTGAAAATTTAAAAAAAATATTTTTTAAAAAGATATATTAGTAGTGTTTTTTAAAAAATACTTTTAAAAATTGATTTCCGAGAGGAAGTGAGAGGGAGAGAGAGACAGAAACATCAATGATGAGAGAGAATCATTGATTAGCTGCCTCCTGCATGCTCCCTACTGGGGATCGAGCCCATAACCCAGGCATGTGCCCTGACCAGGAACCATGTCCTCTTGGTTCATAGGTCAACACTCAACCACTGAGCCACACTATAGTATAGTAGTGGTTTTAATTTCTTCCATTTAGGGCCTATATCATATTCTAACTTAACTATATTTAAATATATGTTGCTTTTATAATAGAAAAAAAATTACTTAAAAAAATAGACTCCACTTGGGGCCCACTGGAGCTGCACCTGGAGTAGCCAACAAGCTAGGTGCCAGAATACAAGAAGTAGAGCCTGTGACTCAAGAGAAATCCTGGGCTGAAGGCCCTCAGGCATTGGTGACCCCTCCTTTGTACACTTCCATTGTCTTGGACAATAGCTCAGGATTTCTGTTGAAATGGCTGACTGCCTCCCAAATGGTTCCTGTGCCACACTCCTCAAAGGTATTTTCTCATTCTTTACAATATGGATAGGCAGAGGATTTTTCAAATCTTGAAGTTCTGCTTCCTTTTTTATTAACAATTCCATTTTAAAATCAGTTCTTTCTTCCTTTATTTTTCTATAAGCAGTCAAGAGGAACCAGGCCCACTCCTTCAACACTTGGCTTAGATAGTTCCTCAGGCAAATACCTAATTGCATCACTCACAAGTTTTACCATCCACAAAACACTAGGATATGAACACGATTCAGCCAAGTTTTTTGTCACCTTATAACAAGAATGGCCTTTCCTGCCCTGTCCAATAGCATGTTACTCATTTCTGTCTTAGACCTCATCAGAATGGTCCATATTTCTACCTATATTCCATTCAAGATGCCTTGTATATTCCCTAAGAAGACTGAGGCTTTCTCTGCAGCGCTCCTGTACCTCTTAAAATAGGTACAAGAAAGTTCATTTTCCCTGTCAACTATTTGGGCACCACTGTTGCTTCCCCACTGCCTGTTCTAATTCCTCTGATTTTCAGGACTTCTTTGAGAGAATTTGTCATGTGGCTTTTACTAGTAAGATACCCTGTGAGCATAAACAATAGAATAACACTTATAGATACAGGTTTAAATGGCTTTCCTATACATTGGGCACCAGAAATTGTTGGTTTTGGGGTTGGTACAAGATAGGAAAAAATATGAGAAAAAGTTCAGAAATATTGAGGGCAGGGGGAAGAGCTCCAAAAGGCCACTTCAAAGGAAGTTATTTTGTCCAAGAATATGCAGCATTACCAAATAAATATCTAGAGAGTGATGGGGAAGAATGCAAAAGGGTTTTATAATGAAGTGGAAAAGAAATGGCAGCCTCACTTAAACCTATTCTGTTTAAATATGCAAATCCCATCACTCCATACAATGCATATACTACATTGCCTAGGAACCAATGAACCTTAATTATCATTTTTTAAAACTATTATTTATTGAGGTAAATTTTAAATACAGTACAATTTATGTAATTTAAAACTGACAATAAATAACATATTCAGAGCTCATATGGTTGTCTATGAGATCTTTGTCATCATTAATGCTCTCTTAAAGAGTAAATTCTCGGTCTGTTGAGATGACATTTCTATTTTATTATACAACTAACTAAACAGAGGATGTTTATGAATCGCTTTGGGATGATGATTTACTGAAGATGAAGATATCAATCACTCTAATCAGGTTAAGTAAACATAAATTTGGGGTAAATTTTGGAACTTGGATATGAAAAAGAGGGAGAGTCTTAAACTAGTATTTCTTATAACATTTAAAAATGTTGAGAATCTCCCAGGCATTCCTACTTCCTGCTTCTTGTTATCATTATAATATTCAACATGAACAGTATAATGCACATTTGTTGTTTATTCCTGCCTAGCACCCCTTTTTCTGGTGACAGCATCCATCTCTTCCATTTGGGAAATCATTGGTCTTCCATTCTCAGAGCCTGTGGCTCAGAACTGGAGGGAGTGGGTGGGCATAAGATTCAGTCCTGGTCAATCAATTCAACATTCACCTGAGGCATGTGACCCAACCTGGGCCAATGGAAGCTTAGCTAGGACTCTCACAGGGACTCTAAAAAAGAGGCACTCTTCCTCAGCTGAGGTTTTAAAGCTGGTTGACTGCAAACTTGCCAGCCATAAGCCATCTTTACTATCAATGGTGACCTCCTATCTGGGAATGAACCAAATTTATTGGGACACCAAACCAAGGATAGGGACAGATTTTTGTTTGTTTTTTTCTTTGGGACAGATTTTTTGATGGCCTGGTTTGAGCACCTAGATTCAGTCAGATCTACCTAGTTGTTGTTGTTTTTTTTGGTTATATAAGCCAACAAATCTCTATGCTTAATACAATTTGAATTTAGTTTCAAAACTGAAAGTCTTGACTAATACCATCACCATCATAATTGTTATCTGCAGCACCACCCCTTCTCCTCCTTCCTGGCGCCAGAAGTAAAAGTCCACTTCCTGAAGCAGAGCCTCAGATGATTGCAACACTCAGTCGCATCTGTACCCACAGGAAGTCCAGGGTGGCAGTGTGGGGCATGGCAGTTGAGTAGGAGGCTCTGAGGTGCTTCTAGGGCAGAGGAAACACAACGGCAGAGACCTACCGTTGAGAGACAAGCTCTTGCTGCCTATTCCTGGAATGCTCATCTATTTTATCTCCAAGCTCCAATTACAACAGCCTTGTTAGACACAGATTAAAATCACTCTAGTGGATGTTCAACAGGCACCTTGAGCCAATCAGAAACCATCATTTTCTCTTAAAGCTTCTTATTTGCATGCATCATTCCTTTAAACAACTTAAGTCTAGCAATGAT